AGAAACAGCTGATTGAGCCTCTGGAGGTTTGCTGTTAGCTCTCCCAAACCTGTGAAAAACCTGGTTGCCCTGCCAGTAAAAGCTCCATTAAAATGGTCAGCATTTGAGTAATGAATAAATGGAAGAAAGACAGACAGGAAGGTCATCATAGAGCTCGTCTGAGTTATGGCAGAGCTTTACATTCCTTGGAAACAGCAACAAGGAATGATCCTGGAATCACAGAATAAACTGAGTTGCAAGGGACCAACAAGAATTATCAAGCCCTGCACCATGCCCAAAAGTCATACAATGTGCCTGAGAGTATTGTCCAAACACTTCTTGAGCACTGTCAGGCCTCAGCAACAAATCCTAATAAAAATCAGTGACCCCTGACTAATTTTATTTCACTTGACAAACCTTCATACAAACATACAGATATTATGTATCTATATGGCAACAGTGGTGCTCTTTAAACGTGACTGTGATTTCTTATGGCAAAGAAATGGGTTTATTTAGGATTGTCTCCCCTCACATCCAGGTTTAGTGGTTGATGCCAGTGAGCAACTGGGCTAATGAAGGTGTGACAGGCAGCAGAGCAGAGGCTGAAGGGGCTCTGTGTGTGTTGGCTGAGCGCTGAAAGGTCCCACTGATTGCCAGGCCTCTGCCTGGGCTATCAGGCGTCGGGAGCTCTCGGCAGCGGCTCAAGGCTTGGAAAGGATACAGGAATCCTCTAACACTGCTGAAGGTCCCTCCTCACACAGTGCCAAACATCTCCTGTGAGACACTCCCACACTTCCCAGACACATCCCTGACACCAGTGCTCAGCACCAGCTCAGGGCTCTTCATCTCTGTGGGGTTCATGTGCCTCGACACCACAGAAATTCCCATCTGCCATCAAGAAATCCAACCCACTCACGACCCCACTGCCAAAACTATCCCAAAAGCTGCAGTTCAAGGTGCATGTGCCTGTACAGATGGATGTCTACACACTCCTACAAGCACACACATGCACATGTAATTACTCAGGGATAAAGCAGGCTTGTCAACTTCCCCTGTTCAGGCATCAAAGAAGGGACTGTTGATTTGACTGGAAATTAGAAGAGAGTTTAATAAAAGCATGAGGGAGATCCTGAACTATTGTGCCTGTGTTGGCATGAGCTGCAGAAGTGTGGCAAAGCACTTCATTCTTTCATCAAAAATATAAAAATAAAAAAAATTAATTGTTTGATGTTTACATTTAATTCAGTCTTTACATTTAGCCAAAAAAGACAGAAGAGTGGAAGAAGAAAACACAGTGTTTCATTTGTCTGTTGCTGGGAGAAGTAGCCTAAACAAGGAACAGACTACAAATAACAAGTTTAAATCACTATGTAAAATAATAAGAATTACGTAGAATAATTATAACCAATTAATATAGTTTCTCACTCTACTTTTGCTCATCTGGACCACATGGTTTTTGGGATGAAGTTGGTGCTATGAGATATACGTTAAAATTCACATTTTGTTTTCTCATTAGAAGCCCAGAATTCAGATACCAAAACAGAATGGGGAAAGAGAGAGGTGAAAAATTGCAAAAATTTTCTCAGAAAATTGCCTCAGAATGAAATTCTGCCCTTTTCTTCTACTCCAAAAAGTCATTACCATCTGACAGCTGTTTAGTGGCATATGTGTGTTGGTGGTACCAGTCCAATTCCTAGTGGGCAGGTGTCTGCATCACAAAAGCCACCATCACAATTGGCACTAATTGGCACCCTTGCCGGCAGTCTCCATAAAGAAAATAAGGATTAGATGGCACTGAGATCAAATTATCCTGTCACTATAAAGGTGATCCCCCCTCTAGGTCAGAAAGGCCTGTTGGCAGGACAGTTTGGGGAAGTTTGCACTTCCTGGGCTCTCGATCCGACAGAGAGACACGAAATGTCGGGTGTCTGATGCTGGAAATGAGGCTCCTTTCACAGGCGCTTCCACTTTGCCTTTTTAGCTGAATTTCAAAACAAAAAAAAACCCCAAACCAACACCCAAATTCAAAACTCAAATAACAAACCAGAAAATTCCCTCGTAATTTGGACATTTCCCATACAAACTTGCTATTTTATGCAGATAGTCACCACATTGCTGTGCTGGGGTACCAGTATATCTGATGCCTTTCTTTGTATGGTTTCTTTTTTTCCTTTTTTTTTTTTTTTCTTTTTTTTTGGAACAGCATGCAAATTCTGTGATTTTTCTAAGTATAGGGTGCAAAATACCCTGGAAAGTGGGGGGGGAGGGGGGATGTCTTACAGCTCAGCAAGCTTTATGAGGATATTCTCTTAGTTATTGAGATGAGTTGAATAATTCTCCACTAATTTATACACCAGTGAAACTGGCCTGTTGGCAAGTCCACAATTAATGCGAATGCCAAGTGGGATTGCAGCTTTGTTTCATCTAGGAAAACACTTAGCTGAACAGCAGCTTTCCCAGCTGAAAATGTGTGTCTGTCTTTAAACTTGCAACAGAAGCTGGCATTTCTTCGTTTCCATTCACTCTATCATTATGATGCATTATACAAAGTAATGATGTAATACTCTGGAAAGCTGAAACGCTAGCTCTTTGCCAAAAATAATAATACAAAAAGTGTACAATTATTTTCATCTATGAAAGCCACTCTTACTACCATCTCCAGCTACCCAGTCAAAGAGAAATCTTTCCTAATAGTAGATCATTTCTTTCTGTTTGTGAATCAAACACGAATGTGGAAGGGGGGGGACGCCAGCTCATCCGTGCTGAATTACAACTTTTAAAAGATGTAAACCTATTCATCACTCCAGCACAGCAGCTCATCACCACACATCCCTCACACCTGCATTTCAATAGTGGTTTTCCCCTTACCTGTGGGACATGCTGCTTCCCTCTCTAAGTGGCTGCACTGGGGCTAAGTGTGAAGGGATTACTGGAGGCAAAAAGAGCCATCAGGATTTGGATCCTGGTCAAAGGATCAAAATGTCAGGAATTTTCCAGGCCCGGTCTTACCAAACCTCAGTCACAAAAACGATGTGTGCCACTTGGGCAGGGATGCAACCTGCCCCAGAGCACAAAAAAGGCCATGAGGGAGCAGAAATGAGACGTCCTCTGCTTTGGGTTACACATCTGCTCTGCTGCTGCTTTATCTCCCGGTTCCTACAGCCCCGGTGCCACGTGCGCCTCGGTAGCAAAGCCATGGAAATCAATACATGGTGGCCTCAGCATGAGGACCAAAATGCACCCACACATTTCCCAGCCACAGATGGCCAGGGATATTATCACAGCTCCATGACAAACAGTGCCATGAGCAGGTGATGAAGGTGAAGCTTCACAGCAAACTCACTACCAGCGTGGTTTGTACTTTGATCACCGCACTGGCGATCCCGGGACAGCGGTCACCGCTGCCGGTGCTCCGAGGGCAGAGCTGAGGTCTGGTCCAGCGGAGAGGCAAAGAGAGACCTGGGTGTGTCCCAGAGCTCCAGGGGGCTTTTTAGGAGGGAAAGTAAAGAGCAGGATAAAAGGGAAGCACCGTGGATGGCAGAGGGCGAGCGGTGGGGTTCGGGTGCGGGAGGCAGGCGCTGCGCACCAACCGGGAGCGGGTTTGCCAGGCACAGGAAACTCTGCTCCCACAGTGATATACAACCCCACAGTAAGTGTATCTTAATAATACAATAAAGTGTTGGCTCTGATTAGAAAAGAAAGATGAATTCTTCTGCTAAACCAGGGTAACCCTAAAAGCGTGTTAACATGAAATACTAAATAAAATGCTACTCATCTATAATAAATCTTATTACACATTTTGGCAATTTTACTACTAACATACCGAAGGTTTCAAGCAATGTTTGAAAATAGAAATCTTAAATTGAATCATTGTTGCATGAATATATGCAAAATATTCATTTCTAGCACTGTGAGGGTTGAGTGCTTTTAAATTGGAGAAATCACTCATGACTTCACCTTTTCATGCAAGATAAAGTTGTATGTGGTAACATCATTACAATGTCATGAAAGAAGTGGAAATCATACAACAGTTCTGCCTAAAGCTAATATACAAAAAAGTGCTTCTATATTTTTCAATATTGTCCAATATTTAAAGGTGCAGTACGAGGCTTTAAATATATTAAAAAAATCATTAGACTTCAGATGTCAGTGTGGCCTTCACTGAGTACTGAGACTAATAAAATCATTGATGAGATCTCTTTAATATTTAACAGAATTCATGTCTTAGGTACTAGCCTATTTTCAACTCCAGTATCTTCGGAGGGAACTAAATATAGAAATAAAAACAGCAAGCGATTTATGTGACGGTCATTATGGATTTTTTTTAACTAGGGCACTAAAATTAAACTATTTACTCAATAATACTGTCATAACAACAGAGAAAATGCTGCGACATTTAAATAGTCTTTCCTATAAATCCTTTAGCAGGAGATTACTTCAAAAGTACATAACACTTTTATACACATTAACAATCAGTAAATTCAATCAGCGAAAACGAACGAGCGGATTTTGCAGTGAGTTGCCGCACCATGAATCGCCAATATAGAGCTCAGAAGAATTCTGCAATCTTAAAGGTGTTTTAAAAGAGTGAGAAAGGGATAATTTGAGTTTATATACTTCTCTTCCTTTTCTTCCCTCTGATTAAAAAAAAGAAATTAGACCGGAAAGTTCAGCTTCAGAAGTAGAAGTTACATTAAAAAAGCCCACTCCATAGTTTAATTATATTATTTTTAATAGCATGTGAGGGAGAAAAAAATAAGAAAAATCAGGGTAAGGCAATCACCCAGTGTTCAGGTTCAACTTTAAACCGTGGTACAAATGAAACAGATAGCTCCATCTCATCAGGGCAGCCCCTGCTCCAGAGCCTGGACTCACAGGGATACAAAGCAAAAACATCTCCAGCTTCCAATTCCAACCCCGCCGCCCCAAACATTCACGTTTGCTAAAACAGAAACGTGCGTTTCTAAACTCTTGCCTTATTTTTATGTTAAAAAATATTGTTTTTGAAGTCCCACCTGCGGTGGCCGGGCGGTTGCTAGGTGACGGTGCCGCATGGACCGTCGCCGGTGATGAATGGCCCGGCTGGCGGCGGTCCCTGCTCTGCCACTGCCACTCGTGCCCTCCGACGGCGCTGCCACCGACCAGCACAGAGGCTGCAAAGGCCACGGACGGGTTTTGGCAGCGTGAGAGTTGGCCTGCCCTGCACCAGCCCAGCCAGGGGGATGTCAGTGCGTCACCAGCGGCTTCACCACTCTGTTGGCTCTGGCAGCGCTGCCAAGGCCAACGGGGGCGTGAAACTGCCCCAAGGGGTCATAGGAGCCTGTCTGAAAAGTAATGGCAGCAGTGTTGGGGTTCAGGAGAACCCACAACAAGCATGGATGCTCAAAGCTGATGCTCCACAGCCTGCTGTGGCCACCATCAGACCCTGGCCAGCACTGTCACCAAGCTTGTCCATATCTGAGATGCTCACAAAACAGGTTCTGTGTCTTGCATTGGTGCTGTAAGTGCTGCACCTGTCTGGTCAACCCTCTGCTCTTCCACTGCATCTCCACCTTCACACATCCCACTGGGACGCAGGAAGTGAGGGAAAGAGCCTTTTTAACAGAGCCCATTGTATTTCAGCAGCAGACAAGGGCGAGTCCTCCTGCAGGCTGGCTGGGAATGAAAACCCCAGGCACAGGGAGGGCTGCTCCCTCACAGAGACAAGCTGCCCCTGGCAGGATTCCTGTCTCCTGTCCTGACCGCACTACCAAAACCATCTTGAGATGCCCAGGGGCTGGGCACAACTGGGAAGTTCTCTGTTTCCCAGCTGACACCAGTATGAACCCAACCTGCATCAGATCTCACCTCAGTGGGGCTTCCACATGCTCAATTTTGTTTAAAAATATGCAGTGAGGACATGCCAATGAAACAAACAATTTGGTGGTGTTAATCCACAGATTATTGACAAGATGAATGAGATTCCTCGGGTCTAATGCTCTCTGCTACTCAAGGGCTAGCTAAGCTCTCTTTTTTCAAATATGTGGATTTTGAAATGATGGATCATAATAACAGAGCTGGTGCCTATGAATGGGGATTGCAAACACTTAATATTTCAATAGAAGTGTGTGCAACATGATCCAATCACTCTGAAAAATGTACAAAATGGAAATATATAAAGAAAGCAGCTGGCATGAAAGAGAATAAACAAAGAAATATTGATAAAACTCTGTATGGATTAGGCAAAATATATTCAAGCTGCATTTGAATAATCTCATCTATATTTATATGTGTGTACATATATATATATTCAAAATACAGAAAGATTTCTTACCTCATCATTTCCCTGCTTTGAAGGACAGATCTCTGAATTAACACCCCCCCCTGCAATTCAGAGGGCTGTGCTGGTGCACAAGAACCACAACTCCCCAGATGCTGCTCATGCCTTGAGTGTGTGCTCATGGCAGGGGAGGCAACTCTGAGAGGAGCTCAGCACCCTGCCCCGATTCAGGGGAAGCACGTTTCATGTTCAGCTCATGAGGGACCCCTTGGAAGATCCATCTTGTCATTCATTAGGCTAATTTTTCTCGTGTTTTTATATGGCACACCCCGGTGCTTTCGGGATCAGGAGAAATCATTTGCATTGCACTTCCACTGGAGTATTTACTTCCCTGTGTCTCTGTGGTAAAACCAACCTGACCGCTGAGAGCTGGTGTTCTATAAGAGCCGAGCTAGTTTCAAGGCAGAAAATGCACCGTTCTAACATGCAGCTCCCTGACCCACAGCACGTCCCCACAGCTGACTGGGATAGCTGCTGGGGACCGTGCACACCCACTGAACCCACACCAAAGCTCCACAAGCTGGTTTAGGCCTCTAATCAAAAAAAATTAAGCAAAATGATGCTACTTTGCAACTGTTGTGGGCTAAGAGGGTGCACACAAGTGGTGAGTGCAGCTCAGCTGATGGGTGGGAGCTTGTTATGCTGAAGGAACTTCCTACTGAATCTGAGCCCCAAGCTATGCTGCAGCTTGAGGAAGGAAGTGGTGGTAACAAGCTTCTCTCATGATTTTCTGTTTGCTTGCCCTCCCTGCACTTCTCCCACCAGATCATTGCCAGTCTTTTCCGGGCCACTTTGATTAGGGGAAGCAGCTCACCACCCCCCAGCTCTCTACTGTCACTCAGTACCAATTTACCATGTTGGCCTTGTGTTGTGGGGTTTTCCCCTATTTTAATCACAGCTGCCCTAAAAGCCACTTTCCTTCCCCCCACCGCAGCAGCCACGCTCTGCAGAGATGGGCATCACAGCCAGCTCTGCATGGGTGTTTTTCCATGGCAATATTCCATATCCCATCACAGCCTTAGTGAGGCTCTCTCCACCAGCCATGTCACCCCATGAACCAGGGCTCCTCTGGAGCACCATGCAGCAGATCCAGAGCCAGGCTGCTGGCTCTTCTCCTGGCACTCTGCATTGTTGGTTGATGGGTCTCCAGCATTGTTCACACCTCTCCCTGGTTTCACCAAGTACCAGCTGGTTTTGGAGTGGAAAACAAAGCAAGAACTGAGCCCCTATATTTCCCTGGGTCTGTGTGACTGCATGTGGTGCCTGGGAATAATTCTGCCAGCAAAACCCTTGGTCACAGCACTATCAAACACACACCACATAAAAAAGAATAGAAAAGAGAATAGTCTCAATCATTTAAAGCAGCAGCCCCATGGCCAGGAAGGGAGTGTGGGGCAGCAGCCCAGACTCTGCTGGTCTCCTCCCTCAGCTCAATATTGTCATTAATTACTGAAAACCCTAAACCCAAGTTCAATCCCAGCAGGTTAAGAGGCAGCACTTCCCAACACACACAGCTCCTGACCACCCAGCACAGTTTAGCTGACTCCAGAGACCAAGCCCTGTATCTCTGCACGCCACAGCACAGATCTACCTGCACTCCCCAAGCACAGGTTCTCTAGCACTGACTGCAATGAGCAGAAGTTTGAACACTTCATCTTAATCTACCTGCAGTGGGTTTACTGGTAGGTCAGCAGCTCTGTTTGCACATTCCCTTAGCAGAATTGCAGCTGCTTGGCTGTGTGACCCGGCAGACCTGTAAGTGGAACATATTGGGATCACCTTGCCCGGAAGCAACGTCCCCATGGCAGCATTAAAATCTAGAAGGATGGAGGAGATTCAGACATCTTCTGGCAATGTGCTGCCATTTCCAGCTGAGCCCTGAGAGACAAGAAAGAGGGTTTTGGACCAGATGGGAATTTCCAAGGACATCACAAACCAGGAGAGGATATCTGAAACCTAACCCAGCTACAACCAGAAGTTTAATTTTGCCTTTTTACATGCCTGGTTTGCTCCTGTCTTACTTTGCCAGCCTATGTCTGAGCACTTACAAATTCCAAGCATGCTGTATTTCCCCCAGATTTACACGCAACTCTGGTCAAAATCTGTCGCTGAATACCAGACTTCTATAATGAGCCTGAGATATTCTCTCGCATTTCTGACTCACATGATCGGAAGCAGCACAATGAGACACTCACACACACAGAGCCCAGAGCAGAGGTTTGAAACAGCAGCAGCTTTTCTCCTGGCACAGGGCAGGGGCACTTTGGTTTCCTGAACAGGTGGACTACCTGACAAGCAGCGAGTCCCCTTACTTTTGACTACTAGGCTTTAAATCAGGGCTGCTTGGCAAGTCATTAGTGTCTGCTAACTGTTAAACACAGGAAAGTTCAAAAACATGCATATGTTTCCCTCTCTGCCTCCCAGGTGGTATCTGTTTCAAGCAGCAACCTTTTCACTTCGTGCATGAAGACTTGTAAACTTCCCGTGGCTACACCAGCGGTTCCTAACCAGGTGCCGGCGCCGGAGCCGCAGTCTCTGAAGAGCAGGAAACTCCATATGCTGATCTCCGGCTATGTAGATGCCATTCGTTTCTCCTTGAAAGTTTATTGTCAGAATTACTGAAATGTACACAAATGTCTGTATTTGAAGGTGAAATTTGGTGGAAAAATAAAGATATAATAGGATCCTTTCTTATATAATTTCCTGGTGTGATGTCTGTCTGAAAAATGAAGTGAAATTATATGATGTCAAAAAATCATGTTTCAAAATGATTGACAACATGTGAGTGTTTTGCATTGTGAAATGAGGTGGAAAATTTTAATTGCATGATGGAAGGACATAATATTTATTAGAACCTTGTAATCACACTGGATTTCAGTGGAAAGGACACAATTTTAAATTTTATATTAATACTTCGGGCAAAATCCGAAATGAACACACAGAAGCAAAATTCCGCCTCAGAATCTGGGAGTAAGTTTTTAATTTCTAATAATAAAATAGCATCTATAGGGTTGGCACATCACCATAGTGACAGGAAGATTCCTTCATTCATGCACTGCTGTTCTGATGTGAACAATGTTTAGTGCCCGGCTCCCAGGTCACCAGAGAAATGGAGCTCTGGACACACAGGGTTTTGATAAAGGTCTGCTAAAGAACTGGGGAGGAAATTGTAGGAAAATCAAAACTAACTGATAATTCCAAGTCCATTTCCATCTTTACCAGCGGCTATAAACATGGGCTCACATGCAAACCTGAGTGCTAACTAACCCACACCCTTGCAGACAGGAACAGGGAAAAAATCCAAGAATCAAAGTCATACCAGAGAAAATCCCAAGTGAGCAGCAACAAGTTTAGAGAGAGTCCTGGATGACTGCATGCTAGGTTCATTAGCAGGCTGGCCAGTGCAGCACCTGCTAGCAGGAGCTCTCAAATAAAGTGGTACAAAGAAGAAAAAAAGTGAGGTAATTTTGAAAACAGAGATATATATTTACATGGAGGTAACTCAAAGCAATCCATCTTAGATTTAGGATGTGTCCCAAATAAGTCTTATGTCAGTAAGGAATCTGGATCAGAAATCTGGATCAAAAATCTGTTTAAGATTCAGCAATATTAATTATATTTCCTCTCCCTTCCTCCTGCCTGGTGCAAAATGGGTTTGAGGAGCTGAGAGATGGCAAAGAAACTTACTCCTTCCCCTCCTGAATTCTGTCATTTTTCTGAGCCTGTTGATAACATCAGATGCTGAGGGGGAAGGCAAAGGAAATAGGAAACCCTGATTTGGAACCAGGATTTGCGAAGCCTCTGACCAGCCCAGCCCAGAGAGGTGCAGGAGCGCAGCTGCTTCACCACCAGTGCCTTCAGCAACCAGCTGGATTAACCAGAGGCTTTTTTACAGGGATCTCTTTCCACTTTCCTGACCTGAGCTTTCCTGACCAGGAAATGACCAGAGCACAGGTGGACTCCTGGTGCTTTGTGGAATACAAAGGCAAGCAAAGCATAATTATCCATGTAGGCAGAGTAAGTCATGATGACTGTGGAAAGACAATTTTTCAATATGCTGTAATGGCTCTCACTTAAAAAAAAAATAAATCTATGTAACCAAAATAAAAAGCATGGACAATCCACAAGTCCAAAGGAAATTTTGGGAGAAATGCAACAAACTCAACCAAGCTGAGTCCCTTTCTGTTCGTGTCTGCATTAGGAATGTCTGTGTGGAGTTGAAGAGAATGGTTAAAATTATATCCATCGAGCCTAAATGAAGCGCTAGGAAGGGAGAAGTTATGGAAAGCTGCATAGGGGAAACAAAAGGCTAGCTTCAAATTCCGTCAGAGGCTCAGTATAACAGTAATTCACAGAAATTTGGGCTAGGACATAAATCTCAGTGCTGGAATCCTAAAGGGTCATGGAATGGTCTGCAGCTAGTCAAGCAGAAGAGGTCAGAAATTAAAATGCTTAGCAATGAGTAATAAGAAACTTTAGGTCGTTAAAGAATTTTTTGAAATGGGTATTTATGCTCCTTGCACAGGAAGGAAGAGATTTTTCTCTTCTCCATCAAATTAGCTTTGACTGAGTACTGGGAACAAAATATGCTCCTGAATATTTTCACCAGCTTTTGCAAGTTTTTTTTCTTTTATCTGTGCACCTCCACCAAGCAAACCATCCTGCAGAAAAGTTTTGCCCACAGAGAGGGATTTGCTCATCTCTGCGTGAGAAGTGCTCGTGCCTTTTTCCATACTAGGGCAGAAAACAGCAAGGAAGGGTTTATCCCACTGAGCAATGGATTTCCCAGAACTCCTGTCCTGGGAAGGTTTGCAACACCCTGCTGCTAACCCGTGACAGATTAACCTGATCTACCTGACACGTGTGCAGAAGGTCCTGTCCCACCCTCAGCAGCCCTGCTGGTGTCCCAGGCAGGAGGGACCATCCTGCACGTTGCCGAGCAGTGCAACAACCCCAACCTCTAACACCTGACTTGTGCTCATTCCCTGATGTGCTTCCCAAAGTCCAAACTGTCTGAGCCAAACCCAAACGCCTGTGAAATCTAAGCAATGGAATGAGGGGGAAAAAAAAATTGTAAAAATGTATTAGATATTTCTGAATAACAAGGAGCTGAGGAAATCACAATCTGCTCACCATTATTCCATGAGGAGGAGAAAGAAAGCCAGATCAATTATTAATTTCAAGTCACTCAGGCAGCACTCCATCAGGCTCTTTTGTAGGTCAGAAATGTTACTGGGTAAACATGGCTCAGAAACAAATTCCAGCTCTACCCTCGAACAAGGAGCAATTATGGACGTACCTGGGAAGCCCCACACCCTGGAAGTATCTGCCAAGGTTTGCACTTCCCCAGATTCTTGGGTCGGCTCCTTCCTCCCTCCCCTCCACGTACTCATACATTTTTTTGCAGTCTGGGATCCTCGTTAGAGCATTAAGTCCACCACTTAATCAGAGAGAGATTTTTGGAAGGAACCTGGAGCGAAAGTGCAGTAAAGACTGCACTTTCTGCAGATTACTGCTCCCCAAATTGCTCTTTGCTCCAGTCATTATAAAGTGGATGTAAAGTGTTCTCATCCTATACTTGAATATTAATTAAACATTTTTTATTTTTAATAATACTACATAAAACACCTGTGTCCTTGCATACACCAGAGAAAATTATTGCAATAGGATGAAATAAAATATCAGGGTCCTTCAAACCTTAAACCACCAAAGACCCATCTCCTTCCTCCCACCTGTTTGTATTGCTCAGTTTTTCTGCTCAGAAAATAAATAACCATCCCTGTACAAGCAACTACGGAGTACATAAGAGCATCACAAAGTAATTATGAGTTTATGACATCATCTTAATATTACAAGGGAGAGACTGAAAGACCCAGGAGAAACTCCAGATTTCCCTTTTGGGAAAATGTTAATGGATGCTTACAATCTGTTTTCCTTTGTTTGGATGTTACAACCAATAATACACTTTTATGTCTATAAATAAAGACTAAAGTTGAATAAATCCAACAAGCTCCTGAGCCTGCGGCTCTGAAACTTGATTCACATTCACGGTAAAGATTTATGAGTCACTTGCAGAGAATAAGTTGAAGCTGCAATATTTGGAGTGAAATTATTCAAAAGGGTGATTATTTTGGGAATGATTATGCATGCACACCTGATCAGGGTGTCACCTGGGCCCCCTTGTCCTACATGATGAAATGTGGCAATTTTTCTGCATTTCTCTTTGCTTGCACAAAAGAAGAGCATGTAAGAGCAATCAAGCTGTTTATTTTTACACACACTGGATCATCTTGTGGATATATTTTCCTTTTCACTTAGATCACAGGACGTGTTCTTTAAACTATTCACATGAATATACTAAATTTACTGATGACTGCAAAGCAAAGGAATAAAACTGATTGCTGTTCTTCGTGTGTGGGTGTATATATATATATTTTTTAGATATATGCATGTATGCATGTATATGTGAACCAAAATACTTTTGTATTCAGGCTACCAAGTTAAGCACTCAAACTTTGGGAGAAGAAGCAGTAGCTGTCCCTGCTGCATGCACAGAGGGAAGAGAGATCTGCTTTTTTTCCTCTCTCTTATAAATTTTTTTCCTTCACCTTCACCCAGTGGGTGCAGCCACCAGCTGTGGAGGACCACAAGTACCACCAGATGAGGCCAGGAACCATGAGGATTATCAGAAAGTATTCCTGCCTAAGGTCTTTGGCTTGAATCCCTGTACTGTGATGAGGGTTTTGACATCTAGATAATTGAAGGGGTTTAAATTATTTTGTCCAAATGAAATAAACTTTGTAAAGTATAAATGTGGGGAAAAAAAAAAAAAAAGTTGGAAAATACACCCTCGTTTATAATCTTTCTCTGCTTGGAGAATGAGATCACTCTACAGCCATCTGAAAGATTTTCAGGAGCCTCCTTTTATAAAATTTTTGTGGCAAAGTCTCAGAAACCTCATCGTTAGTCATTTCACTCTCTCCATATTCTTCCTGATAAGATGTTTTTCTCATGTGTAACATATGTTTCTCCCTTTTTAGTCCTAAAAAGTTTTTGCTTTGTTCAGGCAATTCAAAATTGATATAAACTTTCTCCTTGATCTCATAGTGATTTGGCCTGAAACAAACTCCCCAAAGGCCTCCAAAACGTGAACAGGTTCAGGTCAAGCTCCAGATTTGGTGCCGGGTGCTTTTCCCTGGAACTGGCTGAGCACACGTTCCAGCGGTTTCTCCCTTCTCTGCCCAGACTCCCAAACCAAAAGGGACATCTCTCCCCCCCCCAGCTCTTGTGTCCTTTCCAGAGAGCTGCTATACAGGACCAAATTTAGAAACTTTATAACTGCATTCTCAAAACCCTGGTGAGGAGGGAGCCAGGCAGGTAATTGCCCTTTTCCAGATGCCTCCTGTTTTGAAAAGGCAGGCTATGCTCTGCAGGTACGTGGGTAGCCCTGCCAAGCGCCTCTGGAAGCTCAGCCCACTCTTTCTTTTGCATAAAAGATCCTCCCACTCTTTCCATTACATCCTCACCCATTGCTTTATTACTACTAATCCAGTATGAATTTATTCCTGCAAGAAAAAGAATTAATCCAAATCCAGCTGCAACTGCCTCTAACCCAGAGTTTG